TTCCTTAGCCGGCTAAGCCAAGTCCAGCCGGCTTAGCCGGCTAAGCCGTTAAATTCCTTAGCCGGCTGATATCACTAGTCAAAATGACAAAGAAGACTGGAAAAAATGTGTTAATAATTGCATCGTACACATCCTCTTCAGATTTATATTCTTAGTCAACAACAAATGCAGCCACAAGTGAAAGGAGTGAAAATAAAATGATTTTCCACAAGAGAAACTTCAAAAACTTGATTCCACTTGTTTGCTTTGGTTGAAGAGAAAATAATTATTCATATCGAATAATATGATAAAATTTCTCCCATATAAATTATTTATAGAGAATGTATACACAAGCAATGGTAATTAGTAATATACGGAATCGGGGAATTATTTTCTTTTATGTGTAATTATTATGCAGTAAAGCAAACTTTATTTTGATTAATAAAAAAGGCAAAGTATTTCACTTTGCCGTTTTTGTAAAATAATACTAACATTAAGGAAATAAAACAATTTTTTTTTACTGGGAATTGCGAGAATGATCAATACGAGATTATTTTTAAAGAAACAATAACAAAAAGAAAAGTCTAAAGAAAGCAAGAAAAAAGAAATTTCTCCAACGGGTAAATTGAATTTATTTATTTATTTCTTAGACGAGCAGAAGAAGTGTTGTCAATTCTGAAGACACACTTTCCCAATAAAATAGCAAGTAAATTGTTCTTTACAAATGTGTAAAGAACAATTTAATTTTGAATTAATGAATAATTGGAATTTTTTTGATAATAATAATGATTTATAGAATGACAATTTACGTTATCTACAATTCACAATAACAAAGCCTCCTTTAACTAATGGCTAAAGTTGATCCAAATACTTCTGACCCAATTCTAATTCGCCCGAATTTATTTATATTGGTTTTCCCTTTATCAATCGTTTCCTCTATTTCCAATATATTACAATACATCGATGAATTTGATTGTAATCAATTGGCAATACTTCTGTTTCTGCTTTACCAATTTTCAAATTACTAGCATATGTTTGCTTGTCTCTTTTTACTTTAATTGTTGTTCTTCAAGTTTGTAATTTTTCTTCGTTCTGAGATCAACCCAAGAACCATCACATTTTTACATTTAAACAACTAAAGGTCAAGTGTTTTTAGCAGCAATTGGTAAATTCTTATCTTGGTATTATTTACAAATAAGTATTAACTAACGCGCATAATATTTATATAACAAATAGTAATGGTAATAGTATAATTCGACATAAATAGCAATAAAAAATAAACATTTAGCTTTCCTTTTTTTAATCTTTTAATTATTATTACTATAATATTGTGACAGTAATTGTTTCTATTAATTACTTTAGAATAAAAACAAGGCAAAAAAATCCGGATATAGTTCAAGAGAAATAATTATTTGTTTTTACATCTATTGATTGATATTAGGAAGGTAACCACAAATAACGATGAGGTCTCCCACTTCTACTTTCTTGTACCAACTCCCTCAGCCTAGAAGTTTCGGAATCAGATGATGATCTAGTTGGAAGAAGAAAAGTTGTTATTAAAGACCAAACTGGAGATTGATACTATATATTTTCTTACTAATATTAATTATTTTTAATTTTACTTCAACTTTTGTTCTTTTGAAACTTAAGTTACCACCTTTGATGTTACCTTGATCAAATTTTTTCAAGAACAAACAAGAGTTCCTCGTATACGAAAAAGCATCAATGCACCGGATTGGGCAAGAGAATACTATAACGATTCTTTAGCTAGTTTAGTTGATGAGGATTCAATTAACAACATCTGATAAAAGAAATGGTTCCAAGAAGATGATTCAGAAGAGGCGAAAAAGAAGTGAAGATTAGTAGAATTTGGTTTTAAAAAACAATTTACATGAAAAATAAATCAATTGGCAATTATTATAAATTAAAAAATAAATAAAAGACAATTGGATATACATATAACTCACGATCATTACTAGCCAGTATGTTGATTGATTTTAAATAATTTTATCGGGCAAACAGCACTATTAAGCTATTTTTGGTTGCCCTGTTATTTTAGGTACAAAATGACGTCATTATAATTTATACTACTTATACACGTACAACATTTATATAAGATATAATTAAATCATTAATGCAAATTATATTATTTTATTA